TCCAGGTTTCTAGCTGCTTCACCCAGGATCGCCCAGCCTGCCCTTCACACTTGTCTGCCAAGGACACAGCAGATTGTGTTGTGTACTCCAAGTGTTCCCTTTTAGGAAAAGTCGTTTTTTGTGGAGTAACAATATTCCTTTGCTTATGTGAGAGTATCTGGAGGTCAGGCCTGGGACTGCACTCTCTCCACCTGCCCTGCGGAACGGGACGGAAGGCAACCAAGTGGATTAGGTAAAAGGCATTTTTAAAAGTACTGCAAAAGCAAAGCGCGTTTGCAAACATTCAACCAAAACTTTAACGTAATCACGGGATTACGCTTTCGAAGGGAGTGGGGTCAGGGAATTGCACAGGGCCCGGGACACTGCAAAGGTCAAATACCATCGCTCCCGACCCCTTAATCCCAAGAGCACTTTGCTCCGCCCTCCGGGCTTCACTGGGCCCGCTGCCTCTTCTCGCCCGGCCTGTGTCTTGGTCACTAAATGCCCTAGAGGGTGCGATCAAGCCTCCCGCGCCACCGCCCCTACTGTAGGTGAGAAAGAGGTGGGCCCGGACGCCGACCTAGGTGCGCCGGCTCGCCAAACCCGGAAGCAGGCACCTCACGTGCTCTGCGGGAACTCTGGGGGCGCCGGCCAAGGGGGCGGGGCGTCTTAGGCTCTGCGTGCTTTCGTCATCGCGTAGGCTGGCGGGGCAGCGGGATGGGGAGGTGACGTATCGGGCGCGTAAAGTGGCTGTGGGCGGGTCCAGGGAATAGGGCGGAAGCTAGCACCGCCTCTTAAAGTTGCCGGGGCCTTTCGGTTTGCCGCCTTGAGGACTGCGGACCGTGGCTCCTTTAAGCGTCGCCGTGACACGTGTGTGAGGCGGCGGAGGCCCGGATGGTGCGTGTGCGGGGCCCGTGCCGAGCAGACGCCAGCGCTGCGGGCCTGCAGCCGGGCCAGCAGCGGAGCCAGCTGAGGGCCTGGTAGGTTAGGGCCGGGTTGGGGCGGCGCGAGGGCCGGGTGGAGAGCTTCCGCCCGGCGGGGCGTGGGAATGTGACTCCCGACGCGGGGCGCACCGGCGAACGCTCCGGGGAGACACGGGTGTTTGTTTGCGAGGGGCTTGGGGTCCACGGAGAGGCAACAGGGCTGCACCGTCCGCAAGGGGCTCCGGGGTCCACGGGGAGGCCCCGGGCTGCGCGTCCACGGGGGTCGCCGGGGTCCACGGGGAGGTACTAGGGCTGCGACGTCCCCGAGGGCTCGGGGGTGCACGGGGAAGCCCTGGAAGTGTGTCCTTCGTCCGGGCTGCCTCGGGTCTGCTCTCTGCTCTTCTCCACCCACCGCGAGCGACCCGCGGTGCAGGGGAGAGCTGCCCCGGCCAGGAGCCCAGGCGGGGGAGGAGGCAGCAGCCCGTGGCGGTGTTACGCACAGAAGCATCATTTATGCAGAATTCAGACTTTCTTTGGAATGGCTTAAGTCCAAATAAAGGGGAGGGCGTTCAGTTTGGCAGCAGAGTTGTTTGTTCTTTTTTAATAAGAGATGTGGGAAAGCTCACCCCTGGAGAGGGTAACATTCCTTATGGTCTTGGTCGTGGTCGTGGTCATGGTCCTGGTGAGGGGATGGGTACAAGATGTGAGTTTTTTAAATACCTATTTCTTTGGGCGGGTAGTATTGGGTCTCTCCTGGGGCTCTAGGAGCTAGAACAGCGTCCTAAAACAGAGATGGATGAGAGAGGAAAACATCCTGGCTCTGACATAGTCCACTGTGTGTAAGGGATGCGGAGAATCAGGCCTCCAAGGAGAGGGGCGCTCAGTTTGCTCTTTCCTGGCTGCTCTTTCCTGGCTCAGTTTGCTCTGCAGAAGAGCCCCCTCTAAAAGCGCCCCAGGGAGGCCTCAGCCCTGTGCTGTCTGGGGCTCCTTCCCGCCAGCACGTGGTTGACCCTGTGAGTCCCCAGTGCATTTTATGCTGGAAAAATGCATTTAAAGAGAGGAGGGAGAGAAAACGTTCTTGAATGGTGATTGATTTAAGGAAGCTTTATTTGAGTAGAGGTAGAAATGTGCACAGATAAGTGTGAGCTGTTCCTGGACCGCGAGGAGCATGCACTGGAGAGAGCATCCTCCTGAGTTTTGAAGCAAGTGTGTACGTCAGAGGGCTTGTGATGGTTACAGGGACATTTTTCTCTGGGTCGCTGCACCTCAGAAATAAATCATTTTTAGGCTGTTGCTTAACGTTTCGGGTTGAATTGGCGATGTGGAGGTTTGATCTTCCTGTTGAAACTTGAAAACTTCTGTTTGTTCAAAATCTCTTGACTCCACATCGAGGAGTGGGCTATGTGGAATGGGTGGGTGTTCTTTAAATTATTTATCTCGAATTAAATTGGGTTAAATCTTCCAAGTTCTGTTTATCCTCTAGCTTCGAGAGGTTCCCAAACCCATATCCGCCCATGACAAGAGTCCTTAGCAACGTGTGATCTTGACAAGAGGGACATTGTAGGGAGCGTTCATGAAACAGAAATCTTTTCAGATTGACTTCATTCTGAGGTCATGTTCATTATGCCCTTTTGTTTTTCTTCCTTTCTTTTTCTTTTTTGCTGTTAATATGCTTTTACTTATGGACATCAGACATGGTATATCTGAAACTTGCTGTAAAGTAACGTGGGCTCAGGAGAGGAATCGACTGGTCCTACACAATAATTACTGACGCTGAATTAGGAGAGCATGGCGGTTCCCTGTGATGTTCTCTCTACATTGTGAATGAACGTTTTCACAGTAAAAAGTTTTTAAGTACCTTAATTTTCTGCAATCACAGTGATTGTGGTTGGTAACTAAGAAAAAAAAACAAACTTAGCAGAGTGAAAATTTGGCAACTCTCATTGCGCCATTTTTTGGGGAACTCTTACTGGCTCATGAAATCTGAAAGTTGGAGATGATTATTTGTTATCTCTTAGTCTTTGCAAATGTGATGGAGTCTGGAGTTAACTGGCATGTGGGGAGATTTTTGTTCACTGGGCTTGTCACTGGCGTGAAGGTTAAGGTATGGAACAAAGGGCAGTGTTTTCATATCATGTCCATCGAAATCGTTTGTAGTTAGTTAGCTCAGCTCTTCACTCTTCCTAAGTCCTGCACTATCCATATTCCTTCCGCCTTAATGCTGACTGTTCCTGGTAGATGGTTGGCGTTCCTGCTCCGCGTCCAGGGAATGGGGCTGATGAGACAGCGGGAAGAGAGCTGGCCTCATGTGATGCTGTGTTCATCCCACAGACTCTGACACCCATTCTGGACGACACGCTTGTGGCTCTGGTGATTGAACAGGCCAAAGCCTGGGAGCACGTGATTTTGAGGGCCCAGCACCACACCTGCCTAGTCCGGCCAAGCACCTGACTCCATGCTGCAGGAATAGCACACCCAAGTTCAGACACCCCAGGTAAGCCCACATGTGGTCCAGCAGCCATTGTTCAGTTGGTGAGAACGCTTAGATAATTCCCCTTAGGAAAGCTTCTTTTATTTTTTTTCATGTCAAAGAACTTGTGCTTGCATTTTTTTTAAATAATGGTCTTACGTTTCTGTTCTTTACAGAAATTTTTATAGAAAAAGAAATTGGATCCACATACAGAATTAGGTGCCCTATAACCATAAATCTGGACGGTTTACCAAGAGGTGCTGGACGGGGTCCTTTCACTCAAGCAGAGTTTTGGATCCACCTGACTAGTTGGGTCTCCTGGCTCAGGCCAGCGACCACATACCTGGGGGAGGTCATCATTTTTCTGATGGGAGTAAGCTGTGTAAGGAACTATTTTTCTAACTGTGACTCAAATAGTCCTTGAGCTTTGGCCAGGGTGGTTGAGTTGACAGGTAGTGTGTGCAGTTAGAGGTGATGGGGATTTCGGGTTTGTTACAGTTTCTACACTGCGGCTTTAGGGACTGTTCCGCAGCCAGCGCTCAGCTCTCACCCAGTGTGTGTCTCCCCATTAAGCTCACAGGCACCTTTGACACTTGTTTTTTTTCCTATTTTACAAAGGACGGTCTCCGGCACTCCCAGTGATTGTCCCTGGAGGCGATAGCTTATCCATGATGGAATAACCCAGGCCTGCCACCTTCCAGAGCCTGAGTTGCCGCCCCGGCCCCTGCCTGCTCCGCCCCCGCCCCTTAAGTTTAGGCGTTTTTGTGTACACCATTCTAGTCCTGTTACTATCTTTTCTCTTCTCCATCACTTTTAAAAAGATAGTCTGTACGAGCACTATCCAGTAACACAAGCCACAAGTATAACTGAGTTTTACAGTGACCACATTAAAAAATAAAAAGAAGCAGGTGAAATGAATTGTCACAATATAACTTATTTAACTCAATGTACGTAAAATATGATCATTTCGGCATATAACTAGTCTTAAAATTACTGAGATGTTTTACACTTGCAAACTGAGTCTTCGAAATCCAGTGTGTGTTCTACACTTACAGCACGTCCCAGTTTGGACCAGCCTCATTTCTCCTGTTCAGTGGCCCCATGAGGCTCGTGGCCTTTGTTTTGAAGAGTATGGGTCTGAACAGATGAGTGTGCTCATCTCACTCTCCATGCGAATTCCTTTATTGTGTAGATTTGTGTGTGTGACCAGAGTGTCTTGGGAGAATTAGTGTTTTCCTGGTTTTGAGCAGACGTTAGGAGCACATGGTCGCCTCTTGGGGGAAATTGCACCAAGTGTGACGTCCAGAGTCACTTGATGGTACTTGTTGAAGAGAAGACGCCGAGAAGGTAGTCTCGCCTCCTCCGGGCCGTGTCAGTCCATTTAGTGCTGTTTGCGGAGGCACTTTGTCTTTTTGAGAGGAGAAGCGTGGGCGTCGCTGTGTCCAAGCGGTCAGTACTATGTCTCATGTCACCCTTCCTTTGTAACGTTGGCAGCCGATCCAGAGCCGCTTTTACGGTGGGTCACATCCGTAAGGCCCAGGAGGGGGTTGTCAGGGAAGGGATGCTCTGTTCCTGGGACCCGCTTACCCGCTGCTCCACGTTCTTTCCTATCCCCACAGTGATGCACCATGCCCATAGTCGACAAGTTGAAGGAAGCCCTCAAGCCTGGCCGCAGGGACTCGGCTGACGATGGGGAGCTGGGGAAGCTCCTGGCCTCCTCTGCCAGGAAGGTCCTTCTGCAGAAGCTGGAGTTTGAGCCGGCCAGCAAGAGTTTCTCCTACCAGCTGGAGTCACTGAAGAGCAAATACGTGCTGCTGAACCCCAGGACAGAGGGAGCTGGCTGCCACAGGAGCGGGGATGAGCCGCAGGCCAGGACACAGGGTACTGGGAGAGGGCCTCGCTCTGTGCTGACCAAGTGGAGGGACGAAGCGTTGACTGATTAGTAGGACCAGAAGCAGTGTGTGGTCGCTTGTGAATGTTGTGCATGATGGGGTCAGTAGATTTTAGTTATGGAAGTAACGGTACAGGGTTGGTCAGAAAGAGATCTGTGTCCTTAGAGGTTCAAGAGCAGGCCTTGGAAACCGGACAGAGAAGCGGGTGGGCTCAGAGTGCCAGGGCCCAGTTCTTCCAGCTGCTGGTTCTCACAGCCTTGTCCTCTCATCCACAGAGGGGTCCTGGGGTGCTAGACCGACGCCATCAGGGAGAGCCGTGGGGTGACAGGTGTTCTGGGCTTCCGCAACGGGAACCCAGTCACCCCCGGATGCTGCGTTCTGAGCACGTGCCCACCGAGTGCGCCACGGCACTTGCTCTGGGTGGTCTGCCTGGGCACGGAGTCAGACGGCCTCCTCTCTCCCATCCCTCCCCCTCCAGGCAGCGAGCACGCATACGAGAGCTGCGGTGACGGCGTCCCCGCGCCCCAGAAGGTGCTCTTCCCCGTGGAGCGGCTGTCGCTGCGCTGGGGGCGCGTCTACCGTGTGGGCGCGGGGCTGCACAACCTCGGCAACACCTGCTTCCTCAACTCCACCGTGCAGTGCTTGACCTACACGCCGCCCCTGGCCAACTACCTGCTCTCCAAGGAGCACACGCGAGGCTGTAAGTGAGCGCTGTTGGGGGGGGGGACTGTGCACACGTATGGCTGTGAGTGTGCACGTGCAGTGGGGTGGCCCTGGGTCCTCGGGGCCAGATGGTCTCCTAAGTGGACAAACCCATGTGCTCACGGTGCTGCCAGTTCAGCCCGGGTCCAATTCAGGAGTGAAGTGGTAACTGATAAGTAGTAACGCTTTATAGTAACTGACAAATCCTACATTTGAATTGTGCCAGCCGCAGGATGGGCCGTGAAAGAGGATCAGGATAGTGTAATGGTCTCTAAACTGGGCTGAAAGTAATTACCTAAAGAGAGAAAAGGGTTTTCAAAAGATACCTACGAAATACATGTATCCGGTTGTTTTATACACCTGTTTTTGTAGCAGTGTTTTATGTACATCATAAAACATCCTCCAAAGTGGAAATTGAATGTGGGTAAAATAAAGATGAAAGAAAATATAACTTACCCAAACTGAAGAAAACAGAAAGTCTGAATAGCCTTTCAACCATGAACAAAATTAAATCAGTGGTTAAAATTTTTCGCATGAAGAAAACACCAGGCTGAGACAATTTATGGGTAAGTTTTATGAAACTTTTAAGAAACAGATCATTTCAATGCTTCCTGAACTCTTTCAGAGAAAAGAAAAAGAGAGAAAGCTCCGTAGCTCGTTCAATGAGGTTCTCTTAACTTGGATAACAAAATTAAACAAGCACAATATGAGAAAGAAAAATTACAGTTCCCTCTTGTTCATGAATATACATGTAAAAATTCTAGATAAAATACTAGCACATTCAATAGTCTTTTAAACACTGTGAGCAACTTGTGTTCATCCTGGTAACACAAGGATGTTCTGATATCAGGAAACCTCCAAATGTAATTGTGGAGCCAGTATAGCACAGCAGTTACAAGCACCACTCTGGAGGCTGGCCTGCTGGGTTTACATCCTGCTTCTGCCACCCGGCGACGGAGTACTTGAGAATTACCTGACCTGTACCTCATCTGCAAAGTAATATTTCCTTCATAGCATTTTTGTAAAGCTTAAATGAATTATGTAGAGTGCTTAGAATAGTACTTGGCACACAGTAAGTTCTACATCCATGACTGCTAATCTTGCTACCTTAGTTGCCGTCACTTTATTAACAGATTAAGAGAGAAAGGTCACCTGAAAATAGATGCCCCAGAAAATTATGATAAAGAAAACTCTTAGCAAAGTAGCAACAGGAAGGGATTTTTTTTACTAATATTGATAAAAGGTATCTAGCAACAACTACAACAAAGCATTCCAATTAGGAAATAGTAGAAGCACACCTTTTAAAATAAGGAGAGAAGCCAGGGTGGCCGCTCTCCGTACTTGTGTTTGATATGCTGGTCCTGGCCAGAGCAGTGACACAGGAGACAAGTGGAGGGAGTAACACTCTTGTTGGTTGAAAATGATATTCCTGCGTAGAAAAACAAAGGAATCCGTAGACAAATTAGAAATTCGGGGGAATAAGAAAGAAATTTGGCACTATGACTAGATATAACATCAATATACACAAAGTTACTTGAATTTCTCTACACCAAACAAGAAATTGTTAAAAAAAATATTTTGCTATTATAAAAAATTGTATAACAGCAACAAAAATGATAAAGTGTGGAGACCCAAATTACCAAGATAAACGTGGAAAACCTTTCCTGGGAATTTAAGGGCATTATATGATAACCTACACACATGGAGATCACTGCCTTCACAGAGGGAAGCCTCAGTATTATAAAAATGTTGGTTCTCTCCCAAATTAATGTAGAGATTACTGTAGCTCCAGCTGATTCTAAAATTTATGTGGAAAAGAAAAGCAAAGGACCAAAATCACCAAGACACCTGTGAAGAATATGAGAAGCGGTATACTCTAGCAGCTGTAAAGTCTTTTTGTAAAGTTAGAGACATTAAAATGACATAGAATTGAGTCAGGGAGGGAGGTACTGACCGATGGAGAGACAGCCCAGAAACAGAGCCACGAATGCGTGGACGTGTGGCATTACACACCATTTTTTCACATATACATGTGTCTCCTGTTCTAAGTAAGTGGAACTTAAAAATAATTAGGGTTTACATATAGAAAAAATGAAATAGAATCCCCATTTCACAGCATACTCACACCAAAAAATGGTTTTAAAACTTCTCAAAAGGGCTTCCCTGGTGGCACAGTGGTTAAGAATCCTCCTGCCAATGCAGGGGACACGGGTTCAAGCTCTCATCCGGGAAAATCCCACATACTGTGGAGCAACTAAGCCGGTGCGCCACAACTACTGAGCCTGCGCTCTAGAGCTCGGGAGCCACAACTACTGAGCCCGCGTGCCACAACTACTAAAACTCGCATGCCTAGAGCCCGTGCTCTGCAACAAGAGAAGCCACCGCAATGAGAAGCCCGCGCGCTGCCACGAAGAGTAGCCCCCACTTACCGCAACTAGAGAGAGCCTGCGCACAGCAACAAAGACCCAACGCAGCCAAAAATAAATAAAATAAATAAATTTATTTTGAAAAAAACTTCTCAAAAGTAAAAACAGTGCTTTTATAACAGACGTGAGCAAGTATCTTTCTGACCTTGGGTTGGGAGAAAGCACTGACCATTAAAAAAATTGATGAATTCGGCTGCATTAAAATTAAGAACTTTTGTTCATGAAAAAACAAAATTAAAAGACAAACAGGGAGCTACAAACGAGGAGATGACACCTGGGATGCATAAACAACGAAGGATTGGTACCAAGAATATATACAGAACCACAAATCAACAAGGAAAAGAATAACATATTAAATAGATAAACATTAGGAGGAGGCATTTTATAGGAGAGGAAGCTCACGTCACGGGGCGGAGGAGGAGATGGCTAGTAACCGCGTAACCTGGGAGACGCTTTACGCCTTTGTGGTCGATGAGGATTCGGAAGTCTGACGGTACCGAAGGTCACGGGATGGAGGTCAATGAGATTCTTTGTAAACTCCTGGTCTGAATTGGCATAACTGCTTTGGAAAACAATCTGGTGTTCTCTGTCATATAGTCTACACTTAGCAATTCTACAGAAAAGCTCTGGTATCTGTGCACCAGGAAACCTACAGCAAAAAAACTAAGCAACCCAGGTGCCCATCAACCCAATGGGTACCTGAATTATATAGGCACGTGGTAGAATATTCTACGGCAGTGCAGAAGGATGGATTCACTCCATGAATGAGTCCGAATAGCATAGTGTCGAGTGAAGAAAAAGTCCCAGAAGACTGCGTGCAGCATGAATTCCGATTTATAAAATTGAAAAGCAGACAATTTGTTGTTTAGGTGTACGTACGTGTGATAAAACTGAAATAAATAAAAGTGATTCTTAAAATTAGAAATTGGCAGAACCAGAGGCAGGGACGTGGGAGTGTGGGAGGAACATCACTATGATAAAAGTTTGGGATTCCGTGACGTGTTCAGGGATATTAGTTATATTATTAAAAAAGAATGAAAGAAGGCCAGGCTATGGGACTCCTGTAGTATTTAAATGTCTTGCAATGGTTCACAGCAGCACTAGCTACCATATCAAGGCACAGTGCACACTTCTAAGATGAAGTTGATTATAAATCTCTGTTTCCAGTAGTTACCTTGGTGATGGCTGAGGTTGTTTTGGGTGGACTTTACTAAGATTTGACTGGGCTGTCTTTGTTTTTAATCTCATGATGTTGGCGGTGAGAGCCTCTCTCCTGAGCCTGTAGGTCGCTCTGCCATTTTCGTGTTCCCTGTGCTTCTGCTGTTGGTTTCTCTGCAGGAATCTTTGCGCTGTTGTCAACTTTGCAAGGGTTAATACAGTTAAAAGTAGGTAACATCTATAAGTCCGTGTAGCCTGGCACAAGTAAACTGTAGTATATGGGGGCAAGGGCTTGAGTTGGGAGCAGCCTCTCCTCCTGTGAGCAATGCAAGCAGACCTGGGAGAGTGCCAGTGTCCCTCCATGTCACTCTATGAAATGTCAGTAAGCCTTAATTTCTTGGCTTTTTTAGAGTAAAATGTATTAGGAGAAGTTTTAGTATTTTTTTCCTGGCACCTGACTGGATCCCCAGGTGACCCCTAAGTGGGCTTGGGCTGTCCTCTCTTCCTTGAATTCACTGTTTGAAGATTCTCAAGGGTCCAGGGAAGTATGGCTTGAACATGACAAGGGGCTGCTTGCACGGAGCCCCAGTTCTGCAACGTGCCTGGACCACTTCAGGATCTATCCACAAAATAAACACTGTGTAAAATATCCAGGAAGATTAAATCCTATTCTTTCTTACATTCTTCCCCAAATTTAAGTAGTAGTGTCCCCAAAATCATGGATACAACTTTTATGATATATTTTCCTAAATTAACCTGAAGAAAGTGTCCACGGGCTTTTAAAATTAAACTTGCGTATTACCGGGGATTTGGGAAATCCTGTTTCAGGTATTTCTGGGTGAAATTGTCACTTGCCCTATTTTTTTTTTTTTTTTTTTTTTTTTTTTTGTGCCGAGTCACAAGGCTTGTGAGATCTTAGTTCCCGGACCAGAGATTGAACCCTTGCCAGTGAAAGTGCCGAGTCCTAACCACTGGACCACCAGGGAGTTCCCAGTTGCCCTATTTAAGAGTGATAATTTATTAGTCTAAAAGTCTCAGCGTTTTAGATAATGATTAGAGGCTTAATTTCCACACGACTTTCATAGGAGTATCTTAACATGAATCAGATTTTGTAAATGGGGGCTCTTTTTGTTTGCTTAACATTTGTTATGTTTGTTATCTTAAATAACATTAGGTTTTTTACCTAAATTTGAGCCTTCTCCACAATTATTGCCATTTAAAAAATAAAAGTAATGAATGGATATAGTTAAAGTTGAGAAAACTCTAAAATGAAAAATAAAAGCCTCTCCTTCATGTAAAGGCATTAATCACATGAATGGTTTTTTGATTTCCCTCCAAGAAGAATTTTTTGTGTAAATACTAGCATTTTTTTAAAAAATAAAACTTTTTTGCATTATGGTAAGTGCACATAACATAAAATTTACCATTTTAAGTGTATAGTTCAGTAGCATTAAGTACATTCACACTGTCATGCAACCATCACCACCATCCATCTCCAGAACTTTTTCAAACTGGAAGTCTGTCCCCATTAAAAACAACCCCCCCGCCAGCCCCCATCCTTGGTACCCTCCGTCCTACTTTTTGTCTTGGTGACTCTCACTGCTCCAGGTACTAAACGTAACACAAACACAAGTGTTTGTCCTTCTAGGACTGGCTTACTTAGTATAATGTCCTCAAGGTTTCTCTTTGTTGTAGCAGGTGTCAGAATTCCTTTTCTTTTTAAGGCTGAGTAATATTCCACTTTATGTATAGACCAGATTCTTTATCCATTCGTCTGTCAGTGGGCGCTCAGATTGCTTCTGCATTTTGGTACTTGTGAATAATACTAAAAATGTGGGTGTACGAGTATGTCTTTGAGACTCTGCTTTCCCTTCTTTTGGATAAATATCTGGAAGAGGAATTACTGGATTATATGGGAATTCTATTTTTAATTTTTTGAGGAACTACCATTACTGTTTTCCACAGTGGCTGTACCATTTGACATTCCCACCAACAGTGTACAGGGTTTGCAGTTTCTCAACATCTTTACCAACATGTGCCCTTTTCGTTTGTAGATACTAGGATTTTTTGTGTGTGTATGGTAAACAGGCTTCATGCTGTTTCATTTTTTAATCTGAGATAGGTCTGAGTGGGTGATTGGAGGTGTTCAGGGGGAGAATGATGGATTGGTGTGAATTTTGTGTTAGGCGCTGGGTCTCTTGAGGAAGCTTGTGCACTATATACATGACTGCAGTACCTTGTAGAACTAAAGATGTGTTTGCCCTTGGACCCAGAAATGTATCTTGTAGGTATATGCCTTAGAGGAACTGCCGTGCGCACAAGGACCATTCACCACAGCATTTGTGATAGCAGGAAAAGGCGGGGAGGTTGGCATGCAGGAAGAGGGGGGTCGTGTGGATGGACTGTGGTCTGGTGCAGGGATTAAAGGGCAGTTTGTTACAGTTTATATGAAGCTGCAGTGTCCTGGCGAGCGAGTGCCGCATGTGGCATGCAGTGAATCCCTGAACGGGAGCAGAGGTGAGCTGGTTGGGGAGAGGGATGAAACGCGTGGGGAACAGGCTTGTGAGAGGTTGAGAGGGGAGTTCAGCTATCCCACCAGTGCTTCACTTAAAAATCTCCTGAGATGGGGCGTAGGCTTTGCTCTCCTCTGTGTATTTAAGATCATAATTGTAAGTAGAGATAGAAGCATAACGCTGTCTCGCCTAATTCCTGGGGGACAAGTAGTTGATCCAGAGCACGGGGACTGGCCGCAGGCTGGGGGCTCTGTGTGGCCCACCGCCGGTCTTTATGGACCCGTCTCCACCGTGTAGGTGTCTCTCGGGGCGCCAGAGCTGCAGAGTTGGGCCATTAGGCTGGGGGAGCATGTGCCCGCGGTCCTGAAGCCCAAGCCCCTGTGTCTCCTGGAAACCAGAGCAGAAGTTCCTACACTGAAGAGCACGTGAAGGGGGTGTCAGGAAGCCCAAAATATTCTAGCCTGTTGACCATGTGATGCAGTTTGGAAGTCAGAGAAAACATTGTTTTAAACGGTGCTTGAAAACTCAGACTCCTCGGACTGGGTTGCGGCCAAGCCCGCAGCTGTGGAGAGACCGGGTCCCGGGTGCTGCAGGCGGCGTGGGGGCTTGGGCCAGGCTGTCGGGCTCCTGCTGTCTCTGCCGGGCGGGAGGCCGTGTCGTCAGCTCTCCTGGGAGCTCTCACCTTACCACGACCGCCTGTTCGTGCCCGCAGGTCACCAGGGAAGCTTCTGCATGCTGTGCGTCATGCAGAACCACATCATCCAGGCCTTCGCCAACAGTGGCAACGCCATCAAGCCCGTGTCCTTCATCCGAGACCTCAGAAGTAAGAGCGGCCTCCTTCTGGCAGGGGGCAGAAGGGAGGGCTTGGGAGGCTGCACGCACAGAATGTAGCAGACTAAGCGAGCCCTGGGGCTGGTTGTGGAGGAGTCCACACCAGGTGGTGGTGGTCCCAGCCCTGAAGATCAGGCGGCTTTGGCCAGGCTGGGAGCTGTGTGTCATGGGCCTGGAGGTGGGGAGCAGGTAAGGAAGGGCTACGGGGCCTTTTCTCAACGTCAAGAGACCAGTGTCCATGGGCTGTGACAGTCAGGTATCTCCCTTAGCAGAAAAGATGGGCTCATTGGTTTTTGAAGCCCGTGTAAGTTGTATTGCGATGACATGGTGATAATCTGCCATGGTCTGTATTGGCTCCTGGAAAACCAGCTTTAGTTCATCAGTGGATCTCCTATCCTTAATGCTTGGTGTTCATTTGTGCTTTCTGTTAAGTGTAGAGGGTTTAAGTCCTTGGGTCTCATTGAGAAGATAACTGCCATGAGGGTGGTACCTGGGATGTAGGAAGCCAGGCAGGCTCCTTTTCGTCGCTTGGGTTTAGTCCTGGGTCTGCTAGGAGTTGGTGACGAGACCAACAGGAGTGGGACGTTTGGAGAGCAGGCAGGATCTCTTCCCTTCCGGCCTGGCGCTTCTTTTTCTCCTTAGAGATCGCCCGGCATTTCCGCTTCGGGAACCAAGAGGACGCACACGAGTTTCTGCGGTACACCATTGACGCCATGCAGAAGGCCTGCTTGAGCGGCTGTGCCAAGTACGCGCTCCTCCCGCCACCCCAGGCTGCCTGTGTGGACCTTGGCCCCGCGGCCCTGAGCTGAAGCTCCAGCAAGGGGTCGCACTGCTTCCCAGGAAAGGGCTTCTCCTGCTGCAGGGCAGGTGGTGGCCATCTCTGTCCCAGCAACTCATGGAGGGAAATGCCTTTTTCATTTTAATGTTTATTTATTTATTTTTGGCTGCGTTGGGTCTTTGTTGCTGTGCGCAGGCTTTTCTCTAGTTGCGTCAAGCGGGGGCTACTCTTTGTTGTGGTGTGCGGGCTTCTCATTGTGGTGGCTTCTCTTGTGGAGCATGGGCTCTAGGCGCGCGGCTTCAGTAGTTGTGGCACGCGGGCTCAGTAGTTGTGGCTCGTGGGCTTAGTTGCTCCGTGGCATGTGGGACCTTCCCGGACCAGGGCTCGAACCCGTGTCCCCTGCATTGGCAGGCAGATTCTTAACCACTGCGCCACCGGGGAAGTCCTGGGAAATGCTTTAATAGATCTCTTCGAGGATCTTACGCTACTGACAGGGACTTTTCCCATCTTTTAAAAATCACCTCATTATTTTGGTACTGAGGATGGGGATGGTAGGAATTATAATGTTTTTATGGAAGAACTTGAAAGGCTGCAGGAAAACTTGAGGGTAAGGAGATTATGACTTTTGAGGTTTCACTCTGCCCAAATTTGAGAGCATAGACAAATGCACATGACGGATTGATGGTTGGTTGCTTAGTCTTCCCTTTTGTAAAACAGCTACTGTCAACAGTGTTTTTGTATCATTCTTGGGTTTTTGGGTTCAGAGAGAAGAAAGGAGGCAGGAAGTGCTGCATAGGCGTGGAATAGAACTGAGTCCTGGACTCTGGAAATACAACGCAGGAGTCATATCTGGAACATCCTTTGGGAAAGTTAGTTGAGTTGTAGCCATGAGGATGGGAAACCTCTGTTTCAGCGGATGAAACTCTGATGTCATTAAACCTGACCCGTAGCCCGGTAAAGTGGTCTGTCTTTGGTGACCCCGCACTGGTTGGGAAGTGACTCTTCCCTCGGGAACACACGATGGCAATGCTTTTGCTTGTGTTAAAGGCCCTTTTTTCCCCTTAATGCCTGGGAATGTTTCTCATGTTCTGCTTTATGTATTTGATGGTACGGTGCCCTTTCGGGTGCCGGGTTGTTGGTGTTCTCATGTCTCAGCTGCCCCCTCCCTGCGGCCGCACCGCACCCCCCCCACCCCTGCTTCCTGTGCCCCTCACTCCATCTCCTTTGAGTCCCTCCTCCAAGTGCCCCTCGAAGTTCAGTCTTTGTTTCTTTCCTGAGTTCAGTGAACTTTCCCTCCTTTTGGTTGTTTTATCTTAGTTTTAAGGCGTGTTCACGGTGTTCTTCCATCTCTCCACATGCTTGTTTGGGGTCTTCAGTTCAGCCTGGAGTTTGTGTCGCTGTCTTCTGCATCATGTTGCTTCTGGGGGACTGATTCTCGTCAGGTAGGGTGTCAAGTCTCCTTCACCATTTTCTACCGGAACCACCTTTGCTTCCGTATCACGAGGATTTGGCGATTCACTCGGCTCTTGCTTCGGGCGCCCCCTTCTGGCCACACAGCGAAGCACACGCTGGAGTGGGCAGCTTTTCCTCTGGGGGCAGAAGGGGCGTGTGGCCTCAGTATTTTGATGTTTCTTGTTCAGGACCCTGGTTTTCCCCTTTGTTCTCCTGCCCTGAACCCCCTGCTCCCCAAGAAGTCTGCCTGCCTCCTCCCGCCAAGTTACTGCCTTGGGGGCTGCCTCCAAGCCACATCCTGTTGCCAGGACGCTTGGGAGCCTCACCTTATAGGAGGTGCCGCACAGGCCTCAGGTCCCCTCGTCCTTTCTCCTTTCCCTCCCTTCCTCTGGGATGCTTGGTGGGAGCGTCTGGGTTAGCTTTTTGATCTGGCTTTATTTTCCTACTTCTGAGTGATTGAATGTCTGCGCTGTCCCTGCTTCCGGCTGAACCGAGGGTGGGTCCTATGTGGTCCTCTGGGTTCCTGTCCTGATGGGCTTCCGGTGACCTGGGGGGCGACCTGGAGTTCAGCAGCTGCATCACACCCAGAGCTTTCAGTCTGCTCTGAGGTTATGTCCTTGCTAGTTTGGGGACCTAAAATGTCCCTTCTTTGATGAGTGGTGGTGACAATATAGATGGTGGCAGCTGATTTTTCTTTTCCTAACGTGCAGAATAAAGATCTGCTGACCCTGTGTTTGTCCCCCATGTGTTCTGGAGCTATACTCCTCAATGCGTCTGGGCAGTGCGGCCATGAATAGTCGTGTGGCCTGAACAGGAGGCTGAGACCAGGGCGCCTGGCTCGCTCTGTCGGTAGTGGGAGGTGGCCGCCTGCGGAGGGAGGTGCCGGGTTAGCAGCACTCACGCCGCCCCCCTCCCCCGCCCAAGAAGCAGAAGCACCTGCAGGAGGTGGTGGGCAGGAGACTGGGGCCTGGGTAGACACGGGGAAGCTCTTCCTGGCAGGGAATGGGCCTTGCCACATAGTGCTCTTGTGGCCCAAAAGACCAAAAGGTCAGCTGCGTTTGTGTCCCGGAGGTCTCGGGAACTCAGGACAGTTGCAGAGGAGTGGGTCAGATTCGGTGGGTTGCAAGCAAAACCAGGAGCAGAGGCTAGACGTAGGGTATTGTTTCCAGAATATTCGTTACGTGAGTCACTGTGGGTGCAGGCGCAGCGCTAGGTGCTCTCTGGAGCTCTGCTTCGCGGCTCTGGGGTTGGGGGTTTGAATGTAGGTCTGCCGGAACCTAAAGCCCACGCCCGTGCCCACTGCTGTCCTGCTGAGAGGGTTCAGAGGGGGAGTTTGTCCCTGCTCACCCTGCGCTCCCCTTTCCCAGAGGTGCACGTGTGCGGTGCCCACGAGGGGACTGTGGGGCTGAGCTGGAGCGGGGAGGGGTGGGCCGGGGGTGGGGTGATGTACAGGTCCATCCGGCCTCTTGCTCCCCGTGCCGTGGGAGGTGAGGCGGCTGCTGTGGGGAGCAGGCCACGCGGGTCAGCGCGTGCGGAAGCCTCGGGGTGGAGCTGCCGCTGACCAGGTGGGACCTTTCCCATCCTCACACTGAGCGGGTAACGGCACAGGGGCTGGCGGGGCTGCCGGCCTGCTTCTTGGCCCCTGTCCTCCCCCTGAAGGTCATGGCCTTTCTGCAGGTTGGATCGTCAGACACAGGCTACGACTTTGGTCCATCAGATTTTTGGAGGCTATCTCCGATCGCGAGGTAAGTGGAGAAACGTTCTCTGCCCCTTGTTGGGGGTTAGAGTATTAACCAGAAATGCTTGGTATTGGCACCCAGGCTGACCCGCCAGGCCCAGGAGGCCTACAGCCTGGTTTGTGCACCGCAGCCCCGCCTGCTGCTTTGCTGGGGGCCCCGTTCCTGGGAGGGGGTTTGGAGCAAAGCATCAGGAGCCTGTGGATGCGGGTGGTGTTCCTTTTCCTCAGACTCCATAGTTGCTCAGATGTGGCCGCTGCCCTTGGGGTGGGAGTGAGCACCCCTGGGGCAGCTGGCCAGGCTGGGAAGGCACCTCGGGGTTTGCCCTCGTCTCCTCCTGAGCACTTCCCGTCCCAGGATTTCAGGGGGCTGGTGAGCTGGTGGTCTGCCTCCAGTTCTCAGACTTGGAAACAGGGGGTGGTGCCCTGGAGGCCCTGCACCCACCCCAGTGCCCCCCTTGTTCTCTCGCAGTGAAGTGCTCCGTGTGCAAGAGCGTCTCAGACACCTACGATCCCTACTTGGATGTGGCGCTGGAGATTCGGGTATAGACCCTGTCATGCTGTTTCGTTTGCATTAGGACAGGGAGGCCAGAGGGCAAAGAACCCAAAGAACAAAAACCTATGAGGGCATGTGATCCAGGTAGATCAGGAAAGAAATACTTGGAGTCCTACATTTTCGTGTATTTCTTCCTAGCCATTTCCCTCTGTGTGTTCTATTTTTTTCAAAAAGGAGGGGGAAAATAATGCAGTTTTGTGCCCTGAGGCATGAATAGCGGCCGCACTGAGTGCAGGGCTTGAGCAGGGAGCTCCGGTGCACTGCGGGCAGCTTTCACACAGAGGCTGTGCATTTCAGAGCCTTCCTTTCTCCCTGCTCGAACTCTGCAGGAGGTGAGCTCACCTCAGCCTGAGGTCTGGACTGGACCCTCTGAGGCCTTGATAAACCCCCGGGGCTGTGATCCTCATCAACAGAGGAGGGGTAACAGCCTGGCTCCCTGTTCCTTTGCCATGTTCTGACTCCCAGAAGGTGGCAGCTTGCAGGACAGTTCTTATGCAAGTGAAATGTTGTGATTTGCTGCGTCAGCCTGAAAAAGACCTTACATTTGGCATTTCTGGAGAATCAGCCTTTTTCTTCCGCTCTTTGTTCTATTCCCTGTTTTTGTCCTTCTCAGCAAGCTGCAAATATCGTGCGTGCCCTGGAACTTTTTGTGAAACCAGATGTCCTGAGTGGAGAGAACGCCTATATGTGTGCGAAGTAAGTTTCATTTTGCTCATGGCAAAAAGATCAAGCCGGCCAGAAAGAAAATATGTCACCTAACCTGACACGGCTGCCGTCCCCTCCCTCCCTCTCGCCCTCAGAGGTGACCACTATCCACATTTCTTTTTTTTTGGCTGCGCCTCACTGCTTGCGGGATCTTAGTTACTCAACCAGGGATTGAACCCAGGCCGCGGCAGTGAAAGCACCGAGTCCTGACACTGGACCGCCAGGGAACTCCCAATCACTGCCCACATTCTTTTTTTTTTTTTTTTTTTTTAATAAATTTTTTTTTTTTTTTTTTTTGGCTGCCTTGGATGTTGCTGCACGTGGGCTTTTCTCTAGTTGTGGCGAGCGGGGGCTACTCTTTGTTGTGGTGCACGGGCTTCTCATCAGGTGGCTTCTCTTGTTGCAGAGCACAGGCTCTAGGCGTGTGGGCTTCAGTAGTTGTGGCCCTCGGGCTCAGTAGTTGTGGCTCACGGGCTCTAGAGCGCAGGCTCAGTAGTTGTGGTACACGGGCTTAGTTGCTCCACAGCATGTGGGATCTTCCTGGATCCAACCCGTGTCCCCTGCACTGGCAGCTCAAACCCGTGTCCCCTGCATTGGCAGGCGGATTCTTAACCACTGTGCCACCAGGGAAGTCCCTGTCCACATTCTTGAGTGGTGTAGATGTGTCTTAAAACTGAAAACCTTTAAACAACACAGATGGAGGGATAGCTGTGGTTGTCATAGCTGCTGTTTATTATGTGGCACTTACTCCGTGCTGGTCCCTGTTCTGAGGGCCTCGCGTGCACTCACTCGTGAAGCAGGGACTGTTATTACCCCCATCTCACAGGAGGAGAAAACTGAGGCACAGAAGTGGAGTGACTGGACATGGCCGTCTGCTCCGGAGGCCATCCTGCCTCCTCGAAAAGCCATGTTCTTCTGTGGCTTCCATTTTTGACTTGAGTTGTCCTCGGCATTTTTCCATTTCAGCAGTTGTGACTGACCTCGTCCTGTTTAGGGTTGTGCAGTCTCAGTGTGTGGGTATGTTACTTTATATCCAGGTCATTTAAAAGCTGTAATCACTAATGAACGTTTTTCTCACTATGCTTTTCAGGTGGATGATTCTGTGCCTAAACCCCGCTTTTTATCCCTCTCAGTTCATCTCCTTTGGCTCTAGAAGCTGTTCACTTTTGCCTCTGTCTTTTCCCCCTTCATTTCCTTGTCTTCTGGCTTTGCTTTCGGTGATTTCCTGCCTGCCTGTTTCTCTCTTGGCCACATCTGCTCGAATTGGCTTTTCCTGTGTTGGCCCAGAGTTACTTTTCCATGTGCGTCTTTAGTCTCCTCCTTGGGAAGGTACTTCCTTTTTGCTTTAGAATCTCCACCTTTTCTCTAGTCCTGGTTGCCCTGCCGTAGCTTTCCTCTCCTTAAGTGGTGTTGATTGGTTTTTAGGGGTGCAGAGGGCACAGTCTCATTTAAGAAGACCCCGTATTTAAAGTGCAGTTCCTGATACTCTGATACTAACCTAGTGTGAGGACAGCAGTCCTCAGGGCACGAGCTGATAGCTCTTCCTCTCCCCTTCCTCACAGATGCAAGAAGAAGGTTCCGGCCAGCAAGCGGTTCACCGTCCACAGGACGTCCAACGTCCTGACACTCTCACTCAAGCGCTTTGCCAACTTCAGTGGGGGGAAGATCACCAAGGTGAGCACTCACAGTGCCCAGGCTGCTTGGTCAGCGCTTTTTGAAAGATTCTAGGCTCTACTCCAGATTGAGTGGATTCAAATCCCTGGAAGACAGGGCCCAGGAGTCCGCACTTTTGCAAAATCCCTAAATGATCATTATGCAGTCAAGTTCAAGAACATTTTTTTTCCTATAGCACCTTCCTGTGCTTGGGGCGTTCCTGCTGCAGAAGGTCTGGGTGGCCCAAGAATCAGTGTGATGAACACTGCTCTGCAGCTCTCATCTCCCATGTCCTGTTTGTCTCTAAAGCAGGTGCAGCTGCATGCTGTGCCTTTTTGTGGTGTGTGATAATTTACTTTTTTGCACAGTGGTGTTTTTAATAGAAGATGCCTTGTCTCATCAGGGCCTGGAGACGTGTTCTCGGTTGGTGGTAGAGCCTAGCTGTGTGGTTTGGGGCGAGGCACTTGTCTGAGCTTTCAGTCTTCTCACTGGCAGTGGTAGTGGTGAGGTCAGCATTTCCCAAACTGGTGTTCTGCAGAACGGTCGTATGGTACCCTGAAAAAAAGTGTTCCGTGTTCTGTGTTCATCCGAGTTTGGGAAACGCCAAGCCCAAGTTAAAATAGTTCTTTTTAATTGCAGACCTTCTCAGAGCCTTTATTAAGCTGTGTCGTATTTTGAATCTCCAAGGGGAATTTACTAAACTCAGTTACTGAGGGAGTCACTCATTCCTCTGTTCTAACACTTGGGCTTACATTGCACCGTGCCGTGCGAGGCACTGGGAAATCAGTGGGAGATAATCAGTGCTGAATGAGGTCATGTTGCTTCTGCCCTGAGGATCTCACGTTCCGCCATAAAATCTCCTGGAACTAGTTTTCCATTAGGACACAGTTTGAGAAACTGGTCTGTTTGATTTCGGCCCCATGTCTAGCAAGATTGGACTGGGGCTCCTGAGCCTATTGGGTGTGTTGGCTTTTGAGATTTTGAGATTGTCAATAGACAGGAAAAGATATGTCAGTTAATATCATGACATTCTGTTGATCCAGACAAACAGGTACCAGCTGTATGAAGCCCAAGAACAGGCAGAAGTAACCACTCGCCGTAGGACTTGGAACAGTGGGTGCTTGAGATGGGGGCACTTACTGGACAGAAGGGGGTTTTCTGGGTCCGTGTCTGTCTCTTGAATGGAGTGTAGGTCACCATCAGTGTACACTGGTCAGAACTCACCAAACTGTTCTCCTGTTTTCACTCTGTGTAAACCGTACTTGTTATTTTGGCCGCGCTGTGCGGCATGGGGGGATCTTAGTTCCCAGATCGGGGATTGAACCCGTGCCCCCTGCGGTGGAAGTGTGGAGTGTTACCCACTGGACCGCCAGGGAAGTCACTGTACGTCACTTTTTTAAAAGTCTGTATGTGCACAGGCAGAAATGCAAGTATGTTATATCTGTATCATTCAAAGATCACATTTGATAATATTTTCTTATGAAAAATTGTTGATTTCTAAAATAAATTATGGCATGACCTTCATCCTGAGCTACCCCATTAAAATTTTAACCTGCTGTTTCAATTAGCCGTGTGGAGCCAGCACCTGTGTTCCTGAAGCCCTGACTCCCCTTGCAGTGTCCTGCACGGTGGCAGGGAGGAGAATGAACACCTCCTCTCCTTTCACACGTGGGACCCAGGTAGCGAGAGAGCTAATTTGGATGCACGGCTAAGACAGGAGACCATAGACCACTTGTCAAGACAATAAAGTAAGAGTTTCTCTTAGAAACTCCCATAGAAAGACTGCACTTTTCTGCTTCTTTTTTAATCACTGACTAAGGGAGGCCCCCGCCTCAGCCTTGCTGTGTGCCCATTGCCCCACATTGTTAAAGACCAGCTGATGGAGAGGGCAAGGTGACCCTTACTCCCAGTGATGAATTGTAATTGCCTTTTCCTTGGCTTTTCAAACAGGATGTAGGGTATCCGGAATTCCTGAACATCCGTCCGTATATGTCCCAGAGTAATGGTGAGCCTGTCATGTACGGACTGTATGCTGTCCTGGTCCACTCGGGCTATAGTTGCCACGCCGGGCACTATTACTGCTACGTGAAGGTCAGTGGCTCCTGTGTTGGTGTCAGGCTGTCTTAGGTGGTGGTACGCGTGCTACCTCCGGGGGGCAGGTTTGCGGTGCCTGTTTGCACGAGTCCAGATGTGACCTCTGCAGAACGTTTATTCTGTGGAAAGTGGCCGTGTTTTGTGGTTGTGTCCAGGTCCTGTTGCTGTTTCTTCGTGGAGTGCAAAGACGTGTTTTAAACCTGTCTCACCAGGATCTGTCCCACTCTTGGCCTTGCGATGAGACACTGGAGGGGGGCTGCTGCCAGTGCCCTGTCCTTAGACCCCCTGGAGAAGTCTCAGAAGGCCAGATATTGGTGGGAGAGGCTGTGCTGAGCAGACCTGTCAAAATAGCCTTCCACAAGGAAAGCTCGCATCTTTTGGGGTGCCAGGAAGGAAGGAAGGGGGACCCCAGCACACTCAGGGGCACATTCAAAGTTAGAGGGATACTTGACATTTTATGAAATCATTACTAGTTAGTTCATCAGCACTGGGATACATGTGGCAGCTAAAAGGTTTTTTCCTTCCCTTGTTAAAAGTAAGGATCGCAGAAGTGTTGATCGTTGTGTTTTGTTTCGTCCACACCCTGCGCTGCTCAGGCAAGCAATGGACAGTGGTACCAGATGAACGACTCCTTTGTCCACTCCAGCAACATCAAGGTGGTTCTGAACCAGCAGGCCTACGTCCTCTTCTACCTGCGGTAACCGGCTCCCCACCCCCACCCCCCAGAGCGCTCGCCTTCACTCTGCTCTCGCCCCGACCGGCCTCCCTGGCCTTTCCCTGCATGAAAGTGACTGGAATTCTGCAGGAGGGAAGCTCTTGGAGCAGCTGTCCTCCTGCCAGTCAGGTGTAGTGGAGAGCGGCCACCAGGAAGGGCACTTAGATCACGTCCACTTGGCTGTTGAGTCAAAGCCAGAGCCTGTGGGAAGGTCAGAGCAGGAGTCCATCTGCCCCACAGTGAGGTGGCTTTGCACGTAAATTGGAAGGTTGTCTATTACATTATTGCCCCAAATTAGATGCGTTCCATCTGGCTATCGGCTGGCATACAGACCTTCCTCTGTGGGGAAAGTGATCACGGTGGGCAGTGAGGTAGGTTGTCGGGGGGTAGAGGCTAGGTAGTCAGAGGGTGTAGGCCTTTGGAAGGTGCCTCTTCTTGGGACTGATTGTCACCGACCTGGAGGATGAGGGTGTGGAGAAGGGAGGTGTTTTGCTGCTCCAGGATGGCTTTCCGATAGACTGAGACTCTAATAATCTCAGAAGAACTGAGTAATTTGCTCTTTGCTTACATTGAGCAGAATCTGAGGCTGCGTAGTAAGTTCTCATGGTTTAAGGGCAAAGTCAGCTTCAGAGAAGCACGTTGGGACAGTCATGGTTCCCTCTGGCTGTTTTTCTGCCTTTGCCTGCCTGCCTTTATTTATCCGTGCAGCATGGCTTGCGGGATCTCAGTTCCCGGGCCACTGCAGTGAAAGCCTGGAATCCTAACCACTAGGCCACCAGGGAACTCCCTGCCTGCCCTTTTTTTTTTGGAATGGAATTGTAACCTTGACTTCTGTATTCTGATTCCTTCTCACACTCAGTTTCGGTAAAGCCTCTGCGGCTTTAGTAAGACACTCCCTGACTTTGTTCTATTCCTTTGACAGGATTCCAGGCTCTAAGAAGAGTCCTGAGGGCTCCATCTGCAGGACAGCCTCCTCCCTTCCCAGCCACCCCAGGGTGGTTCCAGACCACACCAGGAAGAATATCAGCAATGGGACCGCATCCTCATCAGTGACTGGAAAGGTACTTGTTTAAGAGGATCGATGTAATCATTGCCGTTCTTCGTGCCTGTGCCTCTCAGGGGACCGTGGAACCCCCAGACCTCTTCATGCTGGGGAGCTCGGCCCAATGGAAGGAGAGTGCAGACAGCAGTCCTGCTGTATTCCACGTTCTTTCTGAAGTGGGTCACGTAGCCAACAGTGGTGAGAAGGAAGAGGGGGACAGTGATGAGAAAACCTGACTCCGCAAATCAAGACTTAGAGCTCCCAGTGTGTCCCCACCTTAGAGCAGCTGCCACGCGGAAGTACAGTGACAGGTTTCCCGAGCAAACCTCTGGCCTTAAGCATCTGGGAAAAAAATATTTTATCCCCACATTTTAATACTAAAAATGTAAGTAGTTTGTACCAGTGTTAATTTTCTGATTTTGATAATTATAGTGTGGTTATGCTAAGAGAACATCCTTTGTTTTTAGGAATACTCGTGGGGGTATATGGAGGTAAAAGGACGTCGTGTCTAAAATTTAACTCATATAGTTAGGAAAATATATATGTACATATATACGCACATATGTATACAGAAGGAGAGAGAGCAGGAAGGCTGATGTGGTAAAGTGTTAACAATTAAGGAATACCCTTGAAGTTATTTTTGTATGTATTTGAAATTTTGTACTAAAGAAAGTTAAGAACTCAGTTTTATTAATAAGATAATAGCAGTTTCCTTATAGCATAATTCATAATTCAAAAATAGGACGGCCCTCTCTGTTGAATACTTCTGTGATCCTTTCCCTTAAGTCTGAAGATCAAATCCAAACACAGGCTGCTGGGGCCTTCACATGTCTACAGGGGTTTTAGTCATTTACACAAATCTGTTTCCTTTCTAACATGCAAGAAAATGGAAGCTGAAATAGAAGCATTGGAGTTGACGTAGCAATGACATGCCATGACCTGGTTGCAAAGGTGATGGTCACTGTGGCCAGAGCAGGAAAGCCGGAAGCCTTGGTTGCTGCTCAGAGGGACAGCGACGGGCATGGGGGTGCCTGAGGGCGAGCACGGTGTCCCCCGCTGCCCTGCCCCGCCACCCCACCCCCTGGTCAGGCCACCGCAAGGCCTCTTCACTGACCCTGCGTGTTTTCATCATGAAAATAACTTCCCAAATACACTGCAGTTGTACAAAAGTTATTTTACTCTAAGTAACATTGTATAAGTTCCATGTACTTAAATGCTCAACAAGTGAACAGGTTTTGTAGCACAGTGAAGATGTATTCCTTTTAGGAAGAATGCTAATAAAGAAATAATGACCTAAGTGACTTAAAATCACTCTGTTGCCTGTGCAGAGGATATGGATGTTTAAGTGATTCAAAATAGTAACAAATTAGCAAGTATTTTGGGAAAAAATTGTTGCCGGCAAGGGTACAGTAAATGCAGTGTGGCAGTGTGCACCCTAATTTATGAAAACACTAACAGCCTAGTAATTCCATTTCTAACAAATTAGCGTGGAGTGCTAAGTACAGAAGAAGATTCAGTCTTTTTTTTTTTTTTTTTTTTTTTTTTTTTGTGCCGTACGCGGGCCTCTCACCGCTGTGGCCTCTCCCGTTGGGGAGCACAGGCTCCGGACGCGCAGGCTCAGCGGCCATGGCTCACGGGCCCAGCCGCTCCGCAGCATGTGGGAACTTCCCGGACCGGGACACAAACCCGTGTCCCCTGCATCAGCAGGCGGACTCTGAACCACTGCACCACCAGGGAAGCCCCCAGATTCAGTCTTTTGACTATTCCTTCAGCACATAGTCTCTAAGACCCTGACCTGGTTGGGGGTGGAGGTGGCGTGTCGTTGTAAACAGCACCGACGCAGGCCTCGGGGAGCATTTCGGTGAGTGAGTGGCATAGACCCAGTTGTGATGGTGCTATGGAGGATGGGGCACTTAGCACCTTAGTGGTCATGTCAAGGAGACCTGGAGCCAGTCTGGTTTATAAACTCTTCATGCAATGAGATGGTCGCTAGTCAAACATTAAAGACCTTTGTTGATGGGCCAGAGTACGAAGGTGATAATGGCATATGGTGAAACTGAGATGCTCCTGTGCACCTGTGTCAGAAGAAAAGACCAAAGGGAGAAGACACCAGCCTGTTAATGGAGGGTTATGTTTAGGTGATGGAACTTGGTAAATTTTTTCCCTTTATATTTTTTTTGTATTTCTCAAATCTTGATGAAAATGTACTGCTGTCGTAGTAAAGATAAAGAGGCACACCCATACGTGCACAACACAAAAGGTACTGAAAAGAAGTAACGGTATCTGTATCGTGTGTCCGTATAAATAATTTGTCTAGAGTTGCCCCTCAGAGCCCCTGCCTGCTGCCTCCTTGTGGGGCTCCCGCCAGCCGGCTGTGCTCCCTCCGGCTTTGACCGCCTCCTCTGCTTTGCTCCCCTTTAGAGACCAGGCGCTGTGACAATGAAGAAGCCTCAGACCCCTGAAGAGCTCGGGGTGCCCATTGCCAGGAATGGCTCTGTGTCGGGCCTGAAGTCTCAGAATGGATACACTCCTCCCAAGCCACCCCTGGGGTCCCCTTCCCCCAAACTCTGCAAAACGCCTACCCACGTGCCGACTGTTCTGGATGAGCCTGGAAAGAAAGTCAAGAAACCAGTCCCCCTGCAGCACTTCTCCCCACCGCTCAAAACCTCCCCGGGGGCCCCCGGCGCCGGCGAGCTGGGCGGCAGCAGGTGTGAGGGCCGCAGGCCCGGCTCCTGGGACGGCAGGGCCACCCTCTCTACCTCACCTCGGCCCCTGGCCGCCAGGACCGCCAACGGGCTCGGGCCCAAGGTGGGTGATGAGGGCCCAGCCGCCGAGAGGAGGGGCTCCAGCCCTGAGCACCCTGCTGGTGGTAGCCCCGCCAGGTCCCCCCCGGCGCCCCGGAGTGGAGCCGCCCCTCTTGGCGATTCTCAGGGAACCCACTCTGCTGGCCCCACCAAGGTGCTGCCGGCCCGAGAGGACGCGGAGCTGGTGAAGGCCAAGTGCCCCGACCTGAGCAGCGCCGCCCCCGAGCCCGCCAACACCATGTCTCCTCCACCGGCCAAAAAGCTGGCCCTTTCTGCCAGGAAGGTGGGTGTGTGGGAGGGTGTCGGTCGGGGTTGGGGAGCAGGTTCGATTGTAGTTTGGGCGGTGGGGTGGCAGCACGGGGGCATTTGGCCGCCCGAGGAGCTGAGACGTTGGGCGTCCCTAGGTGGCGGAGGGCTGTCCAGGTGTGGGCAGGTTGTGGCATCTCTGTCATTGGAGGCCAGTGGCTGATAGAGGGTCAGGGCCACACAGCTGTCCTCTGTCTCCATCTGTGGAGATGTCCTAAGGGAGCCTCAGGGAACGGGCCCCGGCAGGGAGCTCTGAGCACGGGGACGCACCGGACACGGGCTGGCTGGCACCTCTGTGTGCACCTTGAAGCTCCGTGATGTAATTGTCGTACTGAGATTTTTGTTTAAGCTTCCTTCGTTTTTTCCTTTTTGTTTCTAACCAAAAACACTTCTGATTCTTCTTCTACCATTCTCCCACCCCTCACGCCCCCTTTTTTGTTCTTCTGTCCTCTCATCCTTCTTTCTGGGCTCTTTTATTTTTTATTTTATTTTTATTTTATTTTTATTTTTTCTCTTCACTCACGGCAACCTTTTTTAGAGCACCAAGTTTTTATTTATGTCAATAACTGCAGGCCAGCACCCTGCGGAGGGCAACCGGCAATGACCTCCGTCCACCTCCCCTCTCTCCATCCTCCGACCTCACCTCCCCCCGGAAACCCACTCACCCCGTCGTCGCCTCCACCTGGCCTGTCAGTACAATCCGGTAAGCGGGGCGACCGCTCCTCCCCCGTGGGGACAGCACACAGGTCTGCCCGGTGTCTCCTCTGTCCTCCTGCCGAAGTGGCTTCGCAAGGCAGAGGCGGCTTGGTCTCTCAGGCCCTGGCTTTTTTACACTGTCTTCATCTTCCGTCGTCTGCCACGTGCTCGTGGTGATGCGTGTGCTGTGAGCTGATCTGCCTATGGCCCCCCAGCCCTTTGACAGGACCCTGAAGTGGAAGGGGGGGGTTGTTTGAACAAACCCTGCGTGAGCTCAGGGTCCTGTGCACTGGTTGTGTCTCCCAGCCGTGCTCCCTGGCTTATCTTGGGTGGGGTGGGTTCTGTCACCCTGGCCCTGCGGGCCTCCCGAGTGGACTCAGGCGCCCCCCGTGCGCTGCGGAGGCTGCTGCGGGAGGCAAGGTTCTTTGGGAGCTTTTCAGGCTCCTGTGGAGATGCCCCTCCGGAGGTTTGGGCTGTCGCCTCCTGGCCTGCTCCGTACAGGGGTGCTCGTGTTCCTTTGTGAGTCCAGGGCCAGAGGCCCAGAATTACCGATAAACGGCTTATTTGAGGGCTGAGGGGCTATCAAGGCCTTTGGCAGCTGGGGAGGGAGGAAGGAGGGAAGGAAGATGGGGCCTGAGGCCGTGGGGTGGTTTGGGCGGGCTTGGCGTTGCCGCGGCGCCGACGTGCCCTCCCTGCCCTCCTCGTTCAGGGCCCCACTGTTCCCTTCGTCCAGCCCCGCTCCCGCTCTCAGTCCTGGCACGGGGGTTTTGCACATGCTAGGTCCTTAAACGTCCAAGACATTTATTGGGTATCTTTTCTTTGTTTCTTTGACATATAACTTTTTTTTTTTAATTTCAGAAAATGCAGAGTAGCGTGTTGTAGTAGTGCAGTTTGTGTGTTGCCGTCGGAGTTTGTGTCTAGTTTAGATGGTGTTGAGACAGTCCTGCTTAATTAACAACCCTTGGAGATGGGTTTATTGTCACTCATTCACAGATGAGAAAATTGTGGCCCAGAGTGGAAAGTTGACTTTTCCAAGGTCGCATAGCTAGCAGGAGGAGATCCAAGAGTCTCACTTGATTTGCTCTAGATCCTGCCCTTTACTTGTGTTGCTGTATCATCTGACTGGAAAGTCTGTTTCCCTGATTTTCCTGACCCCAAGTTTCAGAGGAAAATCCTGGAAGGGTAATAGTGGAAGACGCGTAGGCTCATAAGCCGCCTTTCTTATAAGACTCACTGCCTGTGCTCAGACATCTGATACTTGTGGAGGCTGGACATCTATTGCTTAGTGGAGGTTTCCTCCCAACACATTTGTACTGAGAATCTGAAACATTAGGGTTTGCAAAAGTACTTGGAACTGCCTGGTGACAAGAAACTAAGAGATCTGTAACGATTTTTATTAACTTTGATCTTAAGATTAGAATTTGTTAGCATGTATTTTCTAACGTTCGCTGAAATGTACATGTATCTGAGGTTTACAGACGAAAGTCTTTTAAAATCCCGACCTGAGAGGGAAGGGGCTGAGGGAGGGCAGGCAGGGAGAGCTCAGCCTGTCCTCACTACCTGACCGTCCCTACAGGGCTGTGTCACCTGCTCTGAGACCATCCAGCCATCTGAAGCCCCCCCTTGTCCCCCACTCCCCGTCACCGTCCAGCAGCCTCCCGCCTCTCGGGACATCAGACCCACAGAGCCACTCGCCCGCCTCTGCACCCCTGCCTCAGGTCAACGGGGGCTTCCGGGCCCCCTCACACCAGCTGCCAGAGGCCAGCGAGCCCCCCCAGGGTCTCTGTAAGAAGAGGAGGAAGACCCGCGTGGGAGAGACCCAGGGCCAGGGCTCAGAGACCTGCACGGCCGTGGCGGCCCCTCCAGGGCCTCCCAGGAGGAGGGGGAGGAGGAAGAGGAAGCACACGGGGGACACGGACGCCTCCCCTCTCCAGGCGGGGCGCCCGCCGGGGCCGCCCTGGAGCCCCGCGCACAGGAAGGAGGGTCGGGCGGAGCCGCCGGCGGGCAGACCAGAGGAAGAGGGCGGACAGCAGCCGGGGAACGGCTGGCCCGTGGGATGCGTGAGCGACGGCCACCGCGTGAGCCGCAGGAAGAGGAGGAGGCAGGGAGCTGAGGGCCTTGGCGGAGAAGACGGCCTCCGCCGGGACCACCCACCTCGGCGTGGGTGAGAGCAGGGAGCCCTGCACCTCCGCTCACACGCAGCCCACTCCCAGTGGGTGCTGTCTGGAAATACAGGCGCTGCCCGGCCCTCTGGGATGTGACTGTATCGTCAGGTGTCCCAGGCGGGTGGCGAGTGGAAACAGCGTTGCGGACCTGGCCAGCCCCGTGGGTGCTGGGAGGTCACGTGACCAGGGCTGGGCCATGCTGGGGTCCCGTCGTCCACCTTGTGGGACTTGTCTCGGATTAAAAACGCACTTGTGTGCTTTTCTGGACCGTGGCTGTGGGCAGGTCCTGGTGAGGTTCGGGTGGAGTCTCCTGGGGCTCTTCTGGAGGGCTGAGGCACATGCACCAAAGTTCACGGGGTATCTGGGCCTCAGTTTGCTAGGAGCTGACTGTCAACTCTGACTTCCTAGGAGCTGCTCTTCCTCAGATGTCGTCCAGCCGGAGACTATTGCAGCATCACCAAGGAAAAAGAAAAAGAAAAAAAGGAAGCAGGAGTCACAGCAGGAAGTAGAAGAGAGTGAGCCTGAGGGCCAGAGGGGCTCTGTAGTCCCTGGGAGCAGGCCAGGGACAGCTGTGAATGGCCAGGCTCCCGGAGGCCCCACAGGTGTGCACTGGGCTGGGGGGGAGACGCCAGGGGAGCAGGGGGTGGGAGCCAGCCTTCCCTGTGTGTCTAGAGGCAGGTGTGGTACATTGGGAGGAGCCCGCTGGAAGACCTCTTACCTCTGCCCTCTTGCCAGCTGTCTGCCCACTCAGGCCTCCTCACCTGGCAGATCGTTCAGCCCGAACTACCCTGTAGGAAAAGATGGGGTACATGTAAACTTTACACGTTCTGTGAGCGCAGTGTTTCTTCTGGTTCAGGGCTGTTCCCATCTAAACCTTCCCACTGGAATTACTCCTGGGCCCCCCCGCCTGACGTTTTTCTTTGCCACTTGAACTTGCAGCGTTGGGTTCAGAAGCTCACCTCCCTCTGCCTCTCTTTGTAGCCGGCCTTCCTGAAGATCGTGTGGCCTTTTGCTGTTGGGGTTCTGTGTGCTGTGGCCGTGCCTGGGCTGAGGCCTCCACCAAGCGCCTCGTTCATGTTTCGTTCTCTTTTTCCTTAGTGGGCCAGCTCGTTTCACCAGGCTCTCCTGGTGGAATGTGTCTGTTAAATGAGGGGAGAGAAGGTCCTCAGCGCCTCAGGAAGGGGCCCCCAGGTGGCGGATCGTCTGGGGTCTGCTGTTTGTGCTTTGGGGGCACACTGGTTCCTGGGGATGGGTTTGTAGTTTACCAAACTCCGGAGAAACGAATTCACGAATAAACACGGAATTCCATTAATTACACGGCAAAAGCACTAAGTGCTAGGCAGTGAGGAATGGCCACTGCAGGCAGCCCGTGTGTCATTGGAGAAAAGGCTGCAGAGACCGGCTGTCGTCAGACGGGGTCACTTTGTGAGCACGTCAGCCAAGCGGGAGGTGCTGCCGGGCTCCAGGGCTCTCCGCCCAGTGCAGAGCAGGAAGTGCGCGGCAGGCAGGTGCTAGGGCTGCAGGGACGCCCAGCACCCCGTGTGTTTGCTCACAATCCCAAAATTGGGGCAGGCATTTGTGACCCTAAAGAGGCCAGAGCCCGGGTTGTGGGTGGCTCCGCATGACCACCGGGCCCCGAGCTGTGCTGAGGCTGGAGAGGGGGTGGGGGACAGGCCGGGGGCAGACAGTGGACGCTGTCCTGCTCAGAGCACTGAGCCTGAAGGGCACCAGGTCATTGCCAAATTGGCAGACCAGAGAGATGAGGTCAGGCTTGTGTTTAGGGAGGTGAGTCTATTTCTGACAGTTGTGGGTGGTTATGGGGACTGGGCAGAGGCCAGGAGCAGCTCAGACGTCGTTTCTAGAGCCCTGATAAGGGGCGGTCAGTGCTGTCTGTGCAGATGTCCTTGCTGGCCAGGCTCTCTGCGGGCAGGGAGGTGGGAGCTCCCCTGCGAAGCTGCGGTGGTGGTGGTGGTGGCGGTGGCACCTTGTCCCTCCAGTTCACGCTGCTCCGGGTTTCTGCCCCTTCCCTGCAGGCGAGGAGCCTCCATCGGGAGCTCCTATCCCTTCCTCCGTCAGACCGAGGGCTCACTGCTGCCTGTAGGTTTTTTGTTTTGTTGTCGGTGTTCAGGTTTTCATCTTTTGCAGAGTTGATTTGGACCAATAACCTCTTCTCTTGAGAAAGAAAAATCGTTAACTCCCTTGTCACAGGCAGGCAGGCAGGCAGGCAGGAAGAGCTTGCTTTTACACATTCTCTAAAGAATTTGTCATTAGTAAGTTCTGCGATTCTGTTGTAAATAAAAGGTGTAGGAGTGTTTCCTCGGTGGTTTATTTTTAATGTATGTAAATGTTATTCTGATTGCAGGGCTGGGACAGGCTCCTCTTGTATCCTGGGACAGAGAGAGAGAATCCGACGTGGTCCAGGAATTGCTCAAATATTCATCTGATAAAGCTTACGGGAGAAGAGGTACTGGTTTTGAGACTTGACTTCTGTCTTCTGCAGTTGGCTTATGAGGAGCTAGAGAGACCTGAAAAAGACCTCCTGTGTTGAGCCTTGTGCATAGGAATTGCTTGGCTCTGAAGATGGGAAGAGGAATGTACATGTCTGTTGTACCCTCTCTGACCCCAGTGCCATTGTATGCAGGTCAAGAGCCCTGCAGGCGGGTTTTGTCTGCAGTGGGGATCCAGAGCAGCTTCCTGCTGGGCTCTGGGAGCCGGGGAGAGGGCAGAGCGTGCGCGTTTGGGCAGGGCAGGGCAGGCCAGCCAGGGAGAGCGTTAGAATTCCAGAGTCGGGGAAGGCAACAGACCGAAAAACTCATCCAGCACTCATGCTATAAGTTTTTATTTAGAACATTATTTTTCTAATTCGGACTCGGAGAAAGAACACAAGATCTTTGTTTCTCAAGTGAGGGCATGGGCTTAAAAAGAACTATATTCGGGGTTAACAGTGTTTGCTTTTAAGTGACGGGATCACTGACTGGCCTACACACCGGAGACCACTCAGTTCCTCCCCTTTTTCTTCTCTGTGTATCCATTTTCACCAAAAGGTGGCACTCAAAACTTTTTGAATAATTAGGAGTAGACCAGCGTAGTTTGTAAACTTCACCCTTGAAGTAAATCCACAGGGCAGCCGGGGACCCACGCAGGTCGCAATGCCAGTGTCTGTCTTGCAGTTTTGACGTGGGACGGCGAGGTGTCAGCTGTCAGTCAGGACGCCATTCAGGACAGCAGGCTGGCCCGCATGGCCACAGTCATTGACGACTGGGACGAAGAGTTCGACCGAGGGAAGGTGTGATGCGTGGTGGCGCCTGGTGGGGGCGGAGTGCCGCGGAGTAGCTCGGCTCAGGGGGCGCTGGGGAGGACTTGGATTTTCAGGGCTGTTTGAAGGGGCAGCAGCACTGCAGAGTGGCCGAGGGTGAGACTGGAGCTGCGCTGCCCGGGTTCAGGAAGCCTGTGTCCTCCAGTCGCTCCTGCTCCCCCGTCAGTGAAGTGGGGGGTCGTGGGGACACCTTCCGTGGGTCACTGGAGAGTCAATCTGTTAGTTTAGGTCGCACGTTGAGACTCGTGCTGGCACGTAGTAAGCACTTGGAAAGGAACCACCGGGACCTGGGGGAGCCCTTTTTGGGAATTGTGACACTGTGATTCTTGACATAGGAAAAGAAATTGAAAAAATTCAAGAGAGAGAAGAAAAGAAACTTCAACGCCTTCCAGAAACTTCAGAGTAGACGGAACTTTTGGTCTGTGACTCATCCAGCTAAGGCTTCCAGTCTCAGCTATCGCCGCTGAATTTGCAGCTGTCAAGATGGGTCAGTTTGTGCGTGTGTGTGTGTGCAGTCGTGCATGGGCTGTGATGTGTACGGTGTGGAGTGTGGTGTGCACACACCGGCCACTCGCAGATTGAGGACCAGGCTGTTTCCAAGCTCCATCTCGTGTCAGTGGCGTTGCCCGTGTTGGATGCGCTCTGCAGGGGTGGTGGTGGGACTCCTAGGGTCTCGTTTCTCTCCCTCAAGAATGATGTTCTTTGCCTCACAGCCTCCAGAGACGCGGTCCCTTCCTGGGGACCGTCTATCTGGACTGAAGAGCCACTTGCCGAGGACTTGCTGGCTCTTTTGGCTCCGGGCCTGCCATGGTGGACGGCCCGCAGATGCCCCGGGCTTCTGTGGATCAGGACCTCTGGTGACACAACACGCACTGTGACAGACACAGGGACTCTTAGAGCAGGGGGCAGCACAGCAACTGGGACCCGGGATGGGGCTGAGCGCCCTGTGATGCTGTCCTGGGGCTACAGGGGACAGCGGGGAGGACGGCGGCTGCGCCTTCCCAGTGTGACCTTGAGCTCCAGAGATGACGGCGTGCAGCCAGTTGCTCTTCTCAACGGGCCCTCCGTCCCCCACTCCTGGCGGCTGGCACTGCCAGCTCATCCTGCGCCTCCCGCTTCCTCAGGTGGGGGCTCTGTATGCCTTACCTGTTCAGCCTCAGAGAGTCGGCGGCGCCCCAGGCCGGCCCCACGCCGCTGCCTCTCCCTTTTATGGAATTGCGGGGCGGGCAGCCCTGCCAGTGCATCTCTCTCTTGCAAGAAACTTTAGACCCTCTCTGGAGAGCAGGTGGCTGTAGTGGGGCAAGTTGGGGGCCGAAAAGATGTGCTGACACATCTGCTTCTCAGGCTGCTACTTGTTCCGAGGTGGCTTTGCTGGACCCTCCCTTGCAGCTGCAGTGACCCGGGGGTTCTTACTGAGGTGGTGGTCTTGGGGTAGATTCTCCGTTTATTTTACTACTTGATATAAAACATTTATTTTTGACCAGGCCTGTGGCTTCCATCAGCAATGTTTCCTCTCCCTGATATGCAAATACTGGCTTCGTTTGCTCAATTTTGTGAGTGCTTTTTGAATTTAGATGATTGTATTACTCGAGAAGATCACGATCACTCTTTTATCTTGTTCAAGCTGTGCCTGCGAACTTATAATTTAATAAATACGGGAAATCCTCAGTGAGGTGATAGTGTCCAGAAAAAGGATGTATGTCCCGGTGGTAGAAGGTATGGAAGTAAATCTGAAGATAATCCCTCAGCGCGTGTCCACGCTTCCTCTGCTCTTGGCGCTGCCTCCTGTGCGAGTGCACCAGCGCCCGGTCCTGGCCTTCGAGTGGTCCTCGACCTGAGGCCCGATACACTTGTCTGGCCCGCACTTTCTTCCTCACGGAGCCTTGCCCTTTGCTCTGCTGCTTGTTCTGGGGCCCCGGGGATCCTGGTGGTATCGAAACAGCGTTACGTTTTTTACACGGGGAGCTGCTGTGTTAATTTTTTCATGTGGGTCCTTCTTTATGTTTTTTTCTTCCTGTTTTCGTATTTCTCTCTTTAAAAAGCTGGGGAGAATAATACCAGTGGCCTGCGCTAGGGCTGCTCTGGTCCTAGCAGATGGGAACCGGGCTCTGCCTGGACTGGCCGGGGAGCCTTTTTGTCTTTTTCGGAGGACTGATTCCTGCATGTCAACCACACCTTGCTCAAAGCTGAGGGGCCCACCCCAGTGCCCTGTGGCTCTGTCGTTTGTCATCTCAGGAGGGAAGGCAGGTGCCTCCGTGGGCAGGGTTTTTTTCTCTCTTGAGATGTTGGCATCCATTCCTGCGTGAACTATTTCCCCGACCATATTTTTAACATGTTCTGTAGCTGAAAAAAGAAAAATTCAGTTGTCTGCTAGCGCAGAATCGATCTCCCTTCTCGCCCTCCCTCTTCTCCAAACAAGTCTCTTCCTTTCTCCACTATATAATTATAAAGGCTTTTCCCGAGGAGGACGTACCCGTTTTCTCCTGGGCAGGGATGAGCACTGGCCTGACCCTGCAGCATTCAAGTGTCACTGTTAAGTAGACAAGTCCTCCCATCCCACGGAGAATCATTGGCCAAACTGGGAGGGAAAGGATAGGCCCAGAAAACGAGTCCAGGTCCTAGGTGTCCGTGTATAAAGAACTAAAGCTTCTATAGTGGCAGTCTTAGACTTTGTTGACTTAGAACATGGGTCTAATTTAACTTCGTGTTTGGGGGGTCACCCCTCCCAGTGGTCCCGGGTCCTCACACTCCCTGACCCTGATGTGAGAGTGGGGCCCTGCTCACACCTCGGCCCCGTGTGCGCATCGAGTCCACGGCACATGACCTGCACCTCCGCTCCAGGGGCTGAGGGGCCCCAGATGTTGTCAAGATCTCGGTGCAATAAAACAAGGAGTTTTTGTGAGTCCTGCCTGTGTCTTTTTTTTTCCCTTTGACTTTTAAAAGGTTCACCCCGACCCCAGTCTGCTGTCCCAGTTTGCATGCGAGGTTGGCCTCAGGCACTTTCTGGTCACCTGTCCGTGAGTGGGAGTCAGGTGCCTTTAGCAGTCTGTGCAGCAAAGCTTAGAACAGGTCTTTGTTAAGAATAAAGGGTGGGGGGCTTCCCTAGTGGCGCAGTGGTTGAGAGTCCGCCTGCCGATGCATGGGACACGGGTTCGTGCCCCGGTCTGGGAAGATCCCACATGCCGCGGAGCAGCTAGGCCTGTGAGCCATGGCCGCTGAGCCTGCGTGTCCGGAGCCTGTGCTCCGCAGCGGGAGAGGCCACAACAGTGAGAGGCCCGGTACCC